CTCTCTCTCTCTCTCTCTCTCTCTCTCTTTCTGTGCTCCTCCCCTGCTCGTGCTTTCTCTCAAAATAAATAAATAAACATTAAAAAATTAGAAAAAAAGAGCCGCATGCTCTTCTGACTGAGCTAGCCAGGCACCCCTACTACAGACATTATTAATCACTAAGAGCTCTAAGATGTATGTGAAAGGACCACCCTGGGCTTGACAGACAAGGTCTAATTTTCTCCCTGTTCCCTGTTCATTTATGAACAAAGAAGTTATGGTAGAGCCAGGGTCCTTGGTGGGATGATGGAAGTTGGGAGCCCTTAGTTTGTCAACAGGGAAATGGGGAACAATAATGGGAACTAACATTTGCTATCATATGTTAGCCACTGTTCTAGATGCCTTGTGTATACTATTCTATTGAACGAGAATCCTAGAACTACTTTTATTTCCATTTTACAGAGGCAAAAATTGAGGCAGTGAGACTGTAAGTAGCTGGCGCACAGTATGTGGTGCATGAGGATTCAGTCAACTATGCGATACTCTACCGCCCTTTTCCACCAGACTTCTTCCCCTAATTTAGCAATCTAGGATTGTAAAATGAATACCAAATTGCAGGATGCAAAAGAAGAGGAGTAATAGCTGTACTTTCCCTGTTTTCCCTTTTTTGTTCACTGTACTATGTGATCTGGCAGAGAATTTTGAAGAGGGAAAAGAAATTATTTTTAGAAACTCCATCTTTTCCATGATAAGTAATGCCTGACTCTGAGACTGTCAGGGTCAGGAGGAAACTCTCAATGTTCCCAGAATTGAGGCCACAACCTCTTTTTTTAATCCTGCTAGCCAGCTTCACATCTGGCTTGACTGAGGTGCACAAGACTTAAAAGAGGGGTATGTGAGGGAACAAACGGAAAGCGTGTTAATGTTTTGATTTTGGATTTTCCCCCCAAATTTGGAGACTTCATGCCTTAACCCTGTTGTCTCTGAATAGAGATTTCAGTAAAAGGCCACTCCTTGGTTGCAAGCATCACTCCATAGATTTAGCTGGAACCAAACATGTTTCTTTATATATTCCACTCTCATTCCTAAAACCATTTGTTTGGAAATGGATGGGACCCCTGCCCTTACTGCGAGCCTTGCAGGGGAATCATTAATTTCCCTCCGATTTGACAAAGGCATGGCAGCAGAAACATGTTTTGGAACTACAGGGTTTTTCATTCCTCTCAACTTCTAATATTTCTTCTTAATTTTTTTAAAGTTTATTATGAGAGAGAGAAAGATGCAGAGAGAGAGAAAGAGGCAGAGAGGGAGAGAGAATCCCAAGCAGGCTCTGCATTATCAGGGCAGAACGTGATGGGGCGGGGCGGGGCTCAAACTCACCAACCATGAGATCATTAACCTGAGCTGAAACCAAGAGTCAGACACCTAACCACCTGAGCCACCCAGGCACCCATCTACTTTTGATATTTCTGACCTTTAACAATCTAAAACTAGTGGGCAACACTGTTTATCTTTCTTCCTCCCTCTCTCTTTCCCCTCCCTCCATCCCTGTCTCCTTTTTCTTTGGAAGGCTTGCTCTGCTTGCCTGCACCCCTCTCTCAATAACTGTAGTATACTTCCGGTATTGCACGACATTCCCTTACTCTCAGTGATTCTCACCCTGGCTCTCTAAACTGCAACCCCTGGACTTAAAGGGCGTAGACGCTTATGACGCCTACTATCCCCATCATAAGTGAAGGCCAATTGGGCGTGGCACTGGTGACGTCGCAATCGGGGGAGGTGCCTTCTGAGCGTCGACTGGCACTGTGCGCAGTTTGTGGAGAAGAGGCTTGGGCCGTGGCGTTCTCCGCTGAGGTGCGTGATTTAGCAGGTAGAAGGGCTAAAGGTGGGTCAGCCATGGGCTAGTTGAGTAGTTTATAACTAGAAGGAAGATGTGGCCCTCATTTAAACACTTTTTAGAGTGGCCCTGAGGCAGTGGTTTTGAACTACAGAGTTGCTGTAGCTGACTCTCAGGTGAAGGAAAATGGGCAAAGGCATTTTTTTTTTTGTTTTTTTTTTTTACTTGGATGAAGTATGGGATTGGTTCGCGGCCACTGGAAGCAGTAGATAAAAGTTTGGATGTGAATGACCAAAATTCTGTTAAAGCCGGAGGGTCGGAGATTGTTGGGGGCGGGGAGCTGAAGGCGCTAGCTGGCTCTGCGAGAGCGGGAGAAAAGACAGTGAGTGATTGGATACTTTGAACATGTGGGCAGTGGAGGGGGGGCGATTTTGAACCAATTAGGAGACAATGTGTATCAGCCGGACCAATCACAGGATACCCCGGGCCCTGGTTTCCTTGTCGTGGAGCAGATTATGAAAATTTACCCCAGGTCGGTTCCGAGCCGCCGCCCCCATTGGACCGCCACAGCCTGGCGCCGCGCCTGTTGGGCGTCGCGCATGTTTGGCGCTGCGGCAGCCTGGGCCTGGCCCCCCCCCCCATTAACTGGTTTTTCAGGGTTTTAAAATTTCTTCAGCATTTTGCCCCTTAGGACAACAAGTAACTGGAAAATTTGAAAAGAAATTTATTGAGGATAAAGGACAGAATATTGAAAATATTTTCTTATTTCATAGGTCTGAGCCAGAGATTTAATAATGGACAAAACGGATTTTCGTTTCATGGACTTTAAAGGTATATAGCTTTAGATGGTAATGAAGAAAAATGTCACACTGTTTGTTGCCTTATCTAAGATCCTCTAAATGGATTTTGTTTCTGAATTTTATCACTTTGGTCCAAATTTTCCAAATTTAGGTCCAAAGTTTCTCATTTATGTACAGGAAAAACAACATAGATGTTTGACACTGGAACCCTTTTATAAGCTGGTACAGGGAAACAATTCACAACTCATCGATTATTTTCTGACAATTTTTATGGCATGCAAAATAACAATGGTTTACTCTGAATTAGATATCAATTGTGTTGAAAGTGAATTAAAAATATTACTGCAAGATCCTGAAGTGACTTGCCATAATTAACAGTTAAAAATAAATTCTATCCTGGGTAGTTTTATTTATTTATTTTTTCTGTGTAGTTTTAAGTTTAAGTGCATTTTATTGTATCTTAATTATTTTGAAAACTGGTAATCCATGTATGGTATTTATGGGAAATCATAATAAACAAAAGCAATTTGATTTGGCCAGAACACCAGATTCCTCAATCATACCAGACATGAGAGAGTTTATGGTATTTCCTTTTTTCTGGGAACATGATTAGACCTGTGGTGCATTCATATTCATATTATAGTGAAGTATGTTTTAACCAGCATGGCTATAAATCTATTAGGTTGATGTTTCATTAACGCTTGTCGTTTATTATTATTTTTTATTTATTTATTTTTAATATGAAATTTATTGTCCAGTTGGTTTCCATACAACACCCAGTGCTCATCCCAAAAGGTGCCCTCCTCAATACCCATCACCCACCCCCCAATCAACCCTCAGTTTGTTCTCAGTTTTTAAGAGT